CATTCTTATCATCATTCTTATCATATTCTCATCTTATCATCATTTCATTCTTATCATTTCATTCTTATATCATTATATTCTTATCATCATTCTCATTCTTATATCATATTCTTTCATTTCATTCTTATCATTTCTCATTCTTATCATCATCATTCTCATATTCTCATATTCATCATTCTCATATTCATCATTCTCTCATCTCTTATCATCATTCTCATTTCTATCATCATTATCATGTCTTATCATCATTATATTCTTATTATTTCATTCTTATCATTCTTATCATTATCAATATCATATCATTCTTATCATCATTATCATTCATTATCATCATTATTCATCTTTATCATCATTAAGAGTGAAAATTGCAAATATGATGTATTTTAGTGCTATACACAAACAGTCACATACGTAAATAACTAAATAAACAATTACAATAATAATAATACATCTAACATAAGTAAATAAATAATTACAAATAACTATAATGTAAATAAACAGCTCCCAATAATCCGAATAGTGAATTGTCACTGCGTCGGGAATCGCAAGATTTTAACAATCCGGACGTTCGGGGTGGATTTCTTTGCTATTTCCGTCGCTCTTCTAGGAATTTTCTTTTCGTTCTTCGTCACCTTCTTCTCAGCCGAGTCCCTTAATGGGCGCTGCCTTCTTCAGCTCCTCCTTGGAAAGTTTGAAGGAGCCGGAGGTACCGACGCCTTGGTCTGCTGTAAAATATATACATTCATGCACATATCAACATATACATATATGTGACATAGAAATATTACATATATATAGATATATGGCATATATTTACATATAAAATATATTACACATATATGTACATATGAAATATATAACGTATGTATATATGTTTATACATATATGTTTATATATATACATGTGTACATGTGTCTGTATGTCCGACAATAATAACAACAACAATAATAGTAATAATAAAGACAATGATAATAATAAAAACAATCAGTGATAAAAAAATATGACTTTAATGATAGGAATTGATATAGATAAATATGTACGTATATAGATAAATATATATACATATATATATATATATATATATATATATATATATATGTTGTATATATATGTTTATATATGCATATGTATGTGTATGTACATATGTATAACATATGTATACATATGTATATCCATACATATATATATACGTATGTCTATATGCATGTGTGATAATTGTATATAGATAAAGAAAAATTGTGATTATAACACAAAGATAATGATAATATGTACAGTATACCATTAATTAATCCAACCCAAATAATGATCATTGTCTGAAGGAGACTTCAACGCCGACCGACAGGGAACGAGGTAGGCAGCGAAGCCTCATTCCCTCTCACGCACTCCTATTTATATGTTCCCAAGCCTGAAACACATCACACACATCCTCGCCCTTGGCTTCATCCTACTCCTTCCTTAGAGCATCTTCGAGTGTAAAAGGACATTCAATCTCGCTTCCACAATGGCTGAGAGAGCTGTCAAGAAAGCCGGAGAGGCAGCTGGACGCCCCAAGTACAGCCAGATGGTCGCCGCCGCCATCAGGGCTTGAAGGAGCGGACTGGTTCCTCCCGTCAGGCGATCCTCAAGTACGTCGTCGGCGTCTACGGGATCGGGACGAGAAGAGGCAGGCGTTCAGGTCGGCTGGCGCTGAAGAAGGGCGTTGCTGGAGGGTCTCTGGTGCAGGTGAAGGGGACAGGGGCTTGGCTCCTTCAAGCTCGCCAAGGTGGAGGCAAAGCGGAGGGAAAGAAACCGCTGCTAAGAAGGATGGAACTAAAACCAAGAAGGAATTGTCAAAAAGACGTCAAGAACCACCAAAAACCCAGCAAAAAAAAAAGAAAGAAACCAACCGCGAAAAAGACCGCAGTGAAGAAACCAACCGCCAAAAAGACCACAGTCAAAAAAGCCACAGCCAAAAAAGGCGTGACGAAGAACCCAGCGCTAAGAAATCACAGAAGAAAGTAACAAAGGTTTCTTCAACGAAAACTAATGCGAAGAAATCAGCGACGAAGAAAACGACGCTCAAGCAGCCGTCTTCCAAGAAAACATCAAGAAATCTGCAACTAAGAAGACAGAGAAGAAACCACAAATAAGAAGGTCGCCAAAAAATAAAGCTTGTTAGGAATTCCTTTATGTATAAATGTAAAATAAACGTTCATAGTCAGCATTATGTTTTATCAGAATCACTAAAGCAGATCCATGAGAGGCTTGGATAATACTATCTTCACAAGGAAATAATTACACGCAGTACAATTCATTACTTTTGACAATATGCAAATCCATGATTGTGTATGTATATATATATATATATATATATATATATATATATATATATATATATATATATATATATATATATATATATGTGTATATGTATATGTACGTGTATACATACATATACGTATGTATATATACATGCATGTACGAGGGTCGTTCCAAAATTAATGCCTCTATTTTTTTTTTTTTTTTTACTCTGTTTAAGGGATCCGAGGAGATTGTTTATGACCTTGTTATGATGACTGAACTTTTCCGTCATAACCTCGCTGTTGCAGATATTGATGGCATGACAGTCTAAGAAAGCAACCCCGTCAACGTGCGTCAGATGCTGACACGCGTCACTGAATCCTCCACGCAGAAGGTGGACCAGCTGACATTCACCGATTCACAAATCGCGCTTTGGAAGCCCTTGCACAGCCACCACTACACGAATTGGCAGTGAATGAATTGCGTGCAGAGTTGGATGACAGCATCGTTTCCAGTGCACTGACACCAACATCCGACTCTGCAGACATTTTATTCACCGTTGTCCGATTAGTTGATCGAGGCGCACTTCATGTATTTACTTGTTTGTATGTACACACACACACACACACACACACACACACACACACACACACACATATATATATATATATATATATATATATATATATATATATATATATATATATATATATATTATATATATATATATATATATATATATATATATATATATATATATATATATATATATATATATATATATATATATATATATATATATATATATATAATATATATATATATATATATATATATATATATATATATATATATTATATATATAATATATATATATATATATATATATATATATATATATATATATATATATATAATATATATATATATATATATATAGTGTGTGTGTGTGTGTGTGTGTGTGTGTGTGTGTGTGTGTGTGTGTGTTTGTGTGTGTGACACTTCTATCCAGGACTTTAATC